TTTTGGAAGCAGAAAAAACAAGATCGAGCTTTAATATGACTTTCATCCAGTTTCTATAATTTTATCAACCTCAAAACGATTACACTATGGCGAAATCACGTACTGTATTTATACAGAACGATGCATGACAGCTGTATCGAGTTACTTGAAAGACTAATCATCATGATGGTTTTAATAGAATTATCCTTAGAAAATATATTCACATCAGGAAGCAATAATGCATGTATTACATTATAATTGAGTAATAGATTTCAAAATAACTAGAAATCTTGAGATCTATGCTGCTTACAAGTACTTATGATCATATAGTTTGTTGGTAATACATTTTTACCGTTATATATCGTTTCTGGAAACAAAATTAACGGGTGCAAATCAGTTGATTGTAAATAAGATAAATCGAGTTGATTTTGATGTGTACATAAATGAGTTGTAGTTACATTAGTGGATCGAATTGTTCGTCTCAACTGATCCCAGCCACTACATGTACTGAAGAGCTCATTGTTTACACGTACTTCCTCAAGAATGTAGGTGATTGGTATTTCATCGTCGTTATTACTTAATTGGAAAGAGACTTATGATGAGAATGGCACTTGTTTTTTTGTATTGAGCATCATCATCTCAAAAAGACACTCTACTTCTCCATAGTGCAACCTAGTTTTAACTCGTCTCATCAAATTGTTACTGAGTTGTTGGTCTCCAAAGGTCAGTAGAAAGTGTTTATCCACAACAATCATTACAATAAAGTGGGCGTAGTCTTTGACAGGATGGATGAATTTCGATGAAGTTACTAATGGAGACATCTGAGAAACAACATTAGGTATTAAGGAGTTGGCTAATACAGAATATTCTTCCTTTCCAGGGTTGTGAAACGAACAACAAAAATAGGTGCCATCCATCATAACTCTTCTTATAATTAAGCAACAACCGCATCGAAATGTCAATGACCTAGATTGTTAGTACAGTAAATGTACACAAATTTTCAGACCTTGAACACATATAGTGGTGAAGATCGGTTGAGACGGAGACTTTTGTCCACTACCATAACTCGAAAATAAATGAGTATCATTAATTGTTTTATTTGGATAACTCTTGACTAAGAACAAATTAAATACGTATTAAAGTAGAGACATATAAGTAAAAATATTGAGATATAACGAAAATGTATTTGAACACTTGAATGAACAAGCTATTTTTTGACACAAGTCAAAATTTTTTTGTATAGCTTGAGTTGGAAGATTTGGAGAAAATTCATTCTGAAGTTTTGAATTGAATTAGCTTTTTCTTTCATAGGCTTAACATCTAATACGAAAAACGTGAGTTGTCTATCTATGTTTCTATTGTTCACTTTATTTTACGTAGCACAACATTAAGGATGGTGACTTCTTCAAACTATTTTCAGTAAAAAATATACGTTAGATAAAGTAAACAAACATTTGCAGTACACTCTAAATTATCGATAGTGGAACGTGCGAACAAAGTCGAAAATGTCAACTCTAGCTTATACTGTTTTCTACCTTTTGATGAAGTAGAAATATGGCAGTATATATGACAAAAATGAATACGTTACAACTCGTCAAGTTCTCAAAGTATGAACAAAAGAAAAATATTTATTTGATTTGTTGATTGTTTTTGCTATCCATTAAGAAATAATTGTAGTAATAATAAGTTTTTCTTAATCATCTAATTAGAAGTTACACTCAATATTGAATTGATTGACAAATTTTATCTTGTCAGACGAATGAAACTTAGGAAGATACCGATCATTGCAGCAGATTGATCATACATGTAATCAATAACTGTATGAAAAATTCTCATCAGTACTGTATACATCAAGTAACATATTTAACATGTTTTTTTGATGAGTTGTCGTGCGAAAACTTCCTAAAAATGTGTTTTGGTCAAAAAGAGGGATATCATTCTTTTTTCTTAAATCGTTTAACTTTCAATGAGTTTTCAAGTCACATAGTTTCGTTAAATCGACTAAAAATTTAAGATAAAAAAAGTTGTTAGCAATAATCAACTGAATAAATACCGCAAATTTTACATGACTTTGATCACTGATATTATTTCTAGAATAAAATTAATACTCACTGCTGCTCGCACTCATGTTGATGAAATTCTTAATTTTGAAAATAAGAGTTAAGACAAGACTTTCTCTTCCTTTATTCTGAAGATAAAGTAGCCGTTTTGGTGCAAACGATAAGGACGCAAGAAAGATGAAAAAAGAATCTGAAGCAACTTCTTATGTCCGCAATTACATGTCAGTATTTTTTCTTTATTTCTAACGAATAGTAATTGAAAAGATAAAAAAACACTGAAGACAAAATAAAGTTATAAATGTCAAACCAACTGCTTTGCGAATGCCAATGTTTGTGATTCTCAATCCATTGAATATAAATATGACAGAAAACAGAACAGTCGTTAATGCAAAAAGTAAACAAGAAAAACTCATTTTGGACGGTGAAATCAGTTTATAATCAACTTCGAGCCCTGAAAAAAAACAAGAAGTTTACTTTAATAAAGTACAAGGAAGTACCGTCATTGAACATATCTGTACTATGCACGTACACTTACATTGTCTCGTGTGATCACATGTTACGATTCTTTTCTCAGATTGCATCTCAGCAGGAAGTTTAAGTATTAGTTCTTTTGTTTCATAACATAACTACTGGATTATTAGCATTTCACCTTGAGTTGGATTATCATTTTTCATGAGTTGAAGAATCATTTGTTTATTGTTCTCAATTAATTTTTCCAATTTTACATGAATGCTTGTTTTATTTTTTATGATATTTTTATCAGGAAGAGCTAATTCAAAAAAGAAAACAAAAACCCATCAAGCTTTACTTCATAAATAAAGGAGCATACAATGTGGAAATTTAAATGCATGATCAGCAAGAAGTACTGCTATAGATGTCAACTTATCAGATTGATTCGTAATTAGCTGAAGAAATTCTTCTCGAAGTTGATGTCGACTAGATGATTTTATATGCCCTTTTACAATTTCAAATTGAGCAAGAAGACTTAACATTTGACTTTCGATGTCATCGGTAGATTTTGTAATATCATTATAATTTAATTGCTTCTTTATCGAATTTAATGTTATGAGAACGCCTTTTGTGTCTATCATAGAATTATTGATTAACCTTTATAAATAGAAATAGAGTATGAGATATCATACAATCAATTTGAAAATTGTCGTAGAATGAGAATAATATTAATAAATATACAATCTACCGCTTTCGCCATTCTTTTTGTTGATCAAAATTATTGATTGAATACCACCAGTTGTTTGGTCGTGCTTGTATCTGTTCAAATGTATAGTTTTCTCGATAAACAATTGTATCTAATTCTAATGGTGTCACAATTCTCATATGATTATCTTGAATAGATAATGTATGAAATAAAAATTCAATAAATGTTAGACGACCCTACAACCCATAGCACATACCATTCCATGAGCCCATGGAAGAATGAATGTTCCAGATGCCAAACGCCAACGAGGCCATTCAGTTGAATTTCCGTGTATGTTATATTCAACCTCAGCAGTAACAAAATCATAGTAAGATGAATAAAGTTCATGTAAAGAAAGAAATGCTTGAATCGAAGAAATAAAAACATCTTCTTCAACTAACCATACAAATGAATGGTGACTAGATTGTCTCGAAAACTAATAAAGTCCTTTATCCCATGCTCAACAATTTGTACCAGAAACAGCAACATTGGCTCTTTGAAAACCATATTTTGTACAAATAGTATCATCAAATTGAAGAAATCGAAGCATAGATGATAATATCGGAAGTGTAGTATGGGTACTATTGTCAACAATAACAAAAACGTCTACAGATGGTATATTTTGTGCTAGCTCAAAAGCAAATTCAACCGTTTGAGGAAAAGATTGTCGAGTAAGAAAACAAATAGCTGATCGTGCTTTTGAAGAATAAATAATGTTTATGATGAGTGATATAATAAAAAATATACTGATTAACCTATAGCAAACCCTGGTAAAAATATTTCCAGATATGTGTAAAATAAACTTTTCAGCATTGATTGTGTAGATCAGCTTACATACATTGATGTTATCTATATTTCAGCTGTTATGCGTAGCAAGAAAAAAGCAATGATAAACAAACTCGGCAAGGTAAAAAAACCTAGTAAGAGGTTAATTAGGCTGATAAACTACGTGTATGAGTGTTGAAGTGTGATTCACTTATATATTGTATTGTCTTTTTTCTTTTTTCAGTTCTGTTCTTGTACATAGATGAATGGTACGATATAGAAGTTTTGCTTTGTTTTTATTCTCTTCTCTTGATGTAGTATAGCTGTTATTCATGTCATCGTGTCTTCTTTCACATGTTCTTGCATTTTTTTCTAGGTCGTTCATCTATATAAATTAATAAAATTTGCAGATATAAACAGAGAAAAGTGTAATCGATCATATCTTATGATAATCATTAGAGTTTCGTTTTATTGATAGAAGGGTGGATGTCGATGACAGTAGGCTGATATGCATACCCATACCCACAAAATAGCGATTCAAATAAAATTTCTAGAAAGTAAAATATAATGCTTCTGACTGAAGTAAAAATTCTTCGATTGAATTGTACTTTCGTAGAAAGATTTGTAGAATTCCATTTTAGAATTGGCGCTAATTCAAGCTGTAAAGATTTTTCTTTTTCGCGTCATAGTCGTATCGTTTTTTTTTTCTGTAACAATGAAAAAGCATTCTTCATTTCAACGGTATCAGACCGAAAAAGCGATTATTGATGCCCTGTTAAAAATTTCTGAGATCATTAAAAAAACGACTAATATAAAACAATTTTCAAAGAAAACAACAGGTGATGGTGATAAAAGACCACAAAGATATGAATATGATTATGAACAGATATACGATGGACCAATACCACCTTCTATGCGTACACTCGAGTCCTATGTTTCAGGTTTCAATCAACAATATGCAATGTCTTCATCACAGCGGCCATCGAATTTTAATCGAGCACCTATTCTACTGTGGAATCCACGATCACAAGGTAAACTGTATTGTTTATAGTGACAAGCTTATCATTTCAGATATTTAGATAAACAATACTATTCAGTATCAAAAAAACGTATCAGTAATGATTATCGAGATCGAGAATTGGCTCATAAACGTTATTGTTATAATAGATCATCACCATCAATATCTTCATTATCAGATAATCATTATCGAAGAAAGTCATTAAGACATCATTCAAAACGTAAACTATCTCGATCCAACAAAAGACAACGAATCAATTGCGGATGCCACTCTTCACATGATGATTATGAGTATAGTGCAAGCGATTGTTAATATTTTTATTTTCATCTTTCGATTAATCGAAGTAAAACTTTCGAGATACAAGAAGAATATTTCGTTGTTAACAATTGATGATCGATCAGTGAACTATCAAAGGTTTTACGAAGTTTGTTCAAAAATAGTCGAGAATTAGCATTCGAAGTAATTCCGTAGTGATCTAGGATCAAGTCGATTTACAAAATGCAGGCTTTTTATTATTTGACGTGATCAAAGAAGAATATGAACAGATTTTAATATGGAAGTGTCAAAAAAAAACATATTTCAGCATAAAAAATGAGCCATAACAATCATTGGAAGATTGTAATCACATTAATGTCATATATTTGCTCTCTATCAAGTGTCTTTAGACTGACTATAAACACGACAGCAAATAAAGATTCTAATAATATGATAAAGAATTTTGGCATTAAACATTTATCCATCAAAGAGAAAGTATGCTTGATCGAAGTTAAACAAAAGATTTCGTGAACACTAAACGATCGTAATTGCTCATTTGAACATATCTCGAAGGTTTTTCATATATTCTATAGCAATAACTGTTAGTTGTTTCGAATAATGGCGAAAGAAAAAGTCGTAGTCGCCAGCTGAAATCAAACATTTTTGATACAAATGTAAAGTCATCATGCTTCGGATGTGTGAAATGAATGTCCTAAGCGATCCAAATCGTCGGTTTCGATGTCAAGCTGATTACATGAGATGATAATTCGATTGTCAAAAATGAGCGAGTGCATTCTCTGTGAATAATCTAACTACTGCTGCTCGTTTTGTATAATGTTTTCTCGTTCCTATAGCGCTTTGTCAATACTATTTAATTGTCGTCAAAATCTCTATTCATTTAGTTCGAGATGAAATAAATAAAAGTCTTTTTAATTTGTTTTATTTGTTTGCATAAAACATCAGAACAATGGAACGCATAAAAAAAACAATTATTTAGGAATAAGAAAATCCTCCAACAGTCATTTCCATTTGTGTTTGTTGATCAGCAAAGGCAATCCAATCCGAATTATAAGTTGGTAATAAACCCATCGATTGACACTTATATAAAGCTAATGCTAAATGTGTTAAATTACCTAAGAAATAGATAATTTTATGAAACCATATATTGCCAGCTAAACCTTCATGTTCTAATGATGAAAATGCTGAACCGAGAGAAAATATAGACTAAAGAAGAAAAAATTTTATTTAAAAATAAAAATAAAATAAAATAATTCACTTGTATTGGTTTCATAAATAACATAACAACAATCATAATTGACATAAGTGAAAATGAATTTCCAGCCATCCATGCAAAAATCATATTCATTGGTAATTGTTTTATTGGTTGTAATGCTATATCCCATGAACGTTTCGCTAACAAATGATCATTATCTTCGTGTGTTACTATATCTGCTACTCTTTGTTCACTATAACCAACAGGTGTTAATAAGAGAGTATCAGTAGCTGCTGCTGTTGTTGTTGTTACAGCATTATCACTACTTGCTGTTGTCGTAGCAGCAACAGCTAAACGTTCATGTTTACGCATTTGTAAATCAATAAACCATTTTCGACGCGAAGGAATTGACCGTGTCGATGTTGTAGTACTACTTGGATATTGATTAGACATCTGAAAAAAAATCAAAAAGAAAAACAACCTATCTAAACACGTCTCATTTTCTTTGGTCGTTGTAGTCCAACATGTAATGTTGGAATACTAGTATTATCAGTTATAGTAACAATATCAATCCCAGCTAATTGTAAACCTTTTATTGCCATTAAACGTCCTGGACCAGTACCTTTAACAACAACTCGTACATGTTTCATATTACGTCGTAATAAATTATTTCCCATATGTATTCCAACAGCTTGTGCTGCTGTTGTTGTACCTTTTTTTGCATTATGAAAACCAACAACACCACATGATGTACGAAATATTTGTTGACCTGTACAATCACTAACATCTACTAATGTATTATTACGTGTACATTTCATATGAACAATTGGTAAATCTTCATATTTAACTTGTAGAACTTCAGGATTATTTGCATCACCAATTAATTTTTCGAAATCTGTTTCACGAACTTGACCAGAACCACCATAATATTTATCAACATCAATACTTAATGGTGTTTGAATATTTTCTGGATGTAAATTTATTTCACGTACAGCTCCTTCACGTATATCAGCATGTGAACGTTTGTAATTAATAGATGTTAATGATAAAAAACGAAGAGATTGTTGAAATGTTGATATTGATAAGGGAACACAGTGTGAGAAAAGACGATTTAGCATCTGAAATAAAAATAAAACAATAATTCTCGTTGATTTCTAGTACATACGATTCAAAAATGAGATCAGAGGTGTCCGCATGCTCAAGAATATTAGTATTTAATGTCAAAAAATCTTCAGTTGTGCATTCTTGAATTCAAAGATTTGAGTACATATATATATATGTATAATATTGTATTGTTTAAGTACTGAAATATATAATGTATTTAATCTCAACAATTGAATAGTGAAAATTTTTCGTAATATTTTGGAAATCGAATTGAAACTGCAGAACTTTACCTAAAGTAGATAAGCTCTAATTCGAAGCGGTCTTTACTACTCCTATATGAGCCATGTAAAATATGCATTTTCACTATAGCTGTATCTTGAAATAGGAACAACGACAAGAAATGAAACATACGCAAGAATGTATTTTCGACAAGGACTATGTCTGTGTAAAATTTTAAGTCAAAATTCAAAAATCAATTTCCCTGATAAAATTCTGTATTCGGCTTGGGTCACACAAACTAGATTGCTTATACACAAGATCCATTCCAATTATTCTGTTTAGGAGTTCTCTTTGATCGTTCTTAATCATATATATATATATACAAAGTTTTACTATAAAAAAAAAAATAAATAATTCTTACAGAATCTATTATCTGAATATTAGTCTAAGAAATAAAACAAAACATGAAAACAATTACGACGAAACTTTGTCTTCTTTATTCATTTCATCATTTGATAATAGTTCATTCTTTTTATTTAATCCTAATTGAAAATAATGTAATTTTTCTTGATATGTATCTGGTGGATAATGAATTTTTGGTGGTGCATATCTAACATCGCGTTCATGTTCATCGTAATTAATTCCATCAATTGAATCTCTTGTCATTTGTGTTTGATTACCTTCTCTTTGTTCAAATTCAATATTTGAATCGATTAAACCACGATAAAAATATTGTAATCGAGGAGATTTTTCATATCTTTGATCATGTGGATGACCAAAATGTATTTTAGTTATTCCACATTGTTCTGCACGTTGTGCTAATATTAATGCAAGATTATAAGCCACAGAACGATCTTTACATGTTGCTAAATGTTTTCGAATAGCCCATTCCCGTGTTGATACTTGTACACATACATTTCCTGTATAATAATGATCGATTTGAGCTATCAAATGTCTACCTGATGAAAGAAGTCGTACACGATGTAAATAATCTTTTGATGGATATTGCAATGGCCAACCAATTGAACGCCATTGTAAATTTTGCCATTCAAGTGTACGTGGATTACGATTAAGAAGACGTGATGAAATAGTATAAGAACTATTTTCTGTTGATGTCGAAAGAAAACGACGAATAATATTCATCTAGAAATATATATATTTATATTTATATATATATCTGATTGCTGAGACAGATAGATGAATATTTTCTGTTGTTTTTTTCTTCGTCTTAAAACAAAATTTATCGATATACAAAACAAAAAAGAAAAAAAAGAAAACTTAAATGTGAAATAAAATAAACCAATAGATGAAGAAAAGGATTAATGATGTTTATAAAATATTTTACTGTCATTGATCCTTATTCATAAGTGAATTTGAATCTTTTAAAGGATTTTTTAATAATCGATTACCAACACGAATAAATGGATTATTTAATGGATTAAATTGTGGATCATTAATACGATCTAAATGTTCATTATTATCACCACGTGTTAAATGATATAAAACTGTTAGAATTGTAATAAAAACAAATAAAATTATTAATATTATATAGCATGTATAACGAGTACGAGATATTTGGCTTCGATTATTCATTAAAACACCTTTTCGATTAGTTGGTTGTCGAGAACGTAACCATCGAGCAAACCATGTAAAAATACTACGACGTTTATATTTATCTTCTTCATCGGAATCCATTTGTGGTGGCTAAAATATAATAATCATAGAGATTATAACGAAATTAAATGAAGATCTAGACGAAAATTAACACACTTCTCACATTGCAACTTTAATAACTATAGATTCAATCAATCAAACATATATATTTCTTTTCGTCTAGGATATTGATTATAGATTGATATCCTGAAGGTGTCGAAAACGAACCACTTTTTGATAGTCCGACTTGACACAGTCGAACTAATACAGTATGAGAGATAAATAGAATTATTGAATCGAACAATCAAGAGGCATTCGTGAGTAAAATGTTCATTGATCAATTTCAACGATTCCTATTTTTAATAACACAACTAATACTGTTCCACTTCAGTAATACCTATGCCATTCAATGTAATTGATAGTATACTCGGCCTTGTGTATAGATGAGAAATGCCATTGAACGGAATAAATGCACTGATTTTATTTATTGACTAAACCAAACTTTCAAAACGTTCGCATAATAGAGATTCTTGCTTGTGATCTGTTTCAAGATGTAAAACTCATGTAAAAATTTTGATGAAAAATCTCTCTAAGTGGCTTATTTTGAGCCCTGATGTCTAGGAGTGCAATTTCTAGTGGCAAAATCTTCTGTCGATCGATCTTCTCTTTCAAGATAAAAAAAACATCATACTGCACTTTACTGTTGTATATAGACGGTAGTTACGTCATTAATCTTCTTAAATCGGAAAACCTGTATGACTCTGTATAGTCAATGGTGAACTTAGACCAGCTAAATGATACAAAATATTTTTTCAATCTCTACTAAGATTTTTTTGAATTCGTTTCATAGTTCAATTTCATCTGAATTAAAAGATAGTTAAAGAAATAGTTGTGTTTGTTTTCAAAGAAAAATATTGACACAATTACAAATATTTGTTTATCTATTCATACCACAAAAAAAGTTCATTGCAAGAAGAATAAAAAAACTTTTCGAATGAACTAATTCGATGTTATATGTCTCTATTCGAACTCATATTTTATGAAGAAGACATTTAATCGTTATTTCTATGAAACCTTAAAAAAATACAATGAACATAAAATAGAACCATGATTAACCTCACAAAGTTCGTATTAATTTAGCTTCCTATAATAGCTCTTATTCATATCGTATCATATAAGATATAAAAACTGAGTACTAAGACAGAAACTGATCTATAAAATGAATCCATAAGTTTCAACAAAATACATACTCGTGTTGTTAATATTGTTGTTCCTTGTGGCATATCAATAGAACGATGTGGATGATGTGATAATCCACTGGTAGTTCCTATATGTCCACCACTAGTTCCACTAATTTTTGGATTAACAATAACATAACCATTATTGTCAGTTTCAGTTAATAATGGTTGTTTATCTTGATTTAATTTTGAATCATTTACCGATAATATTGGTAATCTATTTGCCCAATTAACTGTCGATAATTTAGTTCGTACATGATCAGCAACAGGTGAAACAAGATTTGATGGTGGAAAAACACATGTATGACATGTTGGGCATGTATATCCATCAGGTGCTGTATGATTTGGAAATGAATGAAAATATTCATTAAGACATGACCAATGAAATAAATCATAACAAATAAGACGTATAGTTTCTTCACCAGTTTCAGTTAATGATCGTTGACATAAGGCACAATTTGGATTATAATCATTATCTTGCAGCCAAGATACATATGAACGCACAATACATTGAGAATGTTCATTAATAAGACATGATTCACAAACATTCACATGATGTTTAAAACAGAATAAAGTAGACACTTTGCGTTGTGGACATTTGCAAAGGCCCATTATTTAGTTGAAGAAAAAAGAAAAAAAAAGATGCCTAATTTAGAACCTACTTGATTGATGCGTTGTTGTTGGATTGAAATGGGTATTTATTGGATTGATGTTAAACCAATTAGAATATTCGATAGAAAATTTTAAGAAAAAAAAAATATTTATCAAAGTTATTAAATTTTATTTTTAAAAGAGGTTTTAATTTTAAAAAAAGCCATCCAATCATATCAAATCATCAATAATAGTCAATGACTCATCATATGTAGTAACAACGATAAAATTTATACGTCGATCTATCTATCTACGATTGGTCTTAGTTCTTCAATAAATTATCAACGTTTTTAAATTTCAAACGTTGTTCAAGAAGGCAAAATTCAAATGGCATTCGAAGTAACTCGTTTTTGGTTAAAAGAAGTGTGCATTAAACGTTGGTATATAATTCCATTTATTACTTATTCAATATTCGTTCATAAACATGAAAATCTTCGACAAGATTATTTTCGTAATCGTAGTCAATTAGTTGGTGGAATGAAAGAACCCAACTGGTAAAAAAATATATAGAACATTTTTCCCCTCATTGTCCTTTTTTTTTCATCCTCATAGATCGAAGATTTGTATACTTTACTTTTTTTTTAAACAAATAGATGTACTCATACAAAAAAATAAAATGATATAATAACGATTTATTTTATCAATCATAATTGAATAGGACTTGGAAATCTGAAGTAAAATACAATATTAAATAATTAATCAATACAGACAATATGATAATTGTTCGCATGTTGTTATGAAAAATATTTAAAAAATCACACATAGATAATAACAAAAATGTATACATATTCATTGGATTAACAAGAAAAGGTCGCGAGATGATTAAAAACTTCAGAGTCCATATTGTACTCAGTCGCAGGCGATTGATAGACTAGAATACTTTTCAAAAAGGTTCATACTAACGTTAAGATTCGATCCATGTTCCAGACACTCGATCAATAACTTCTGTAACATTGTATCTAAAATAGTTTTCTAAATTAATTTTTAGCATCATATGCATATAAGAAATAAAAAGAACGATAAAATGAAAATAGTTATTATTGTTCTTGTTCATTCATGTTAATACATTCGATAAGAACTTACGAAGACAGTACTAATGGTTTTAAAACCATTTAAAAATGACTTTTCATTATAGCAAATATTTTCATGTTTTTTTTTTCTGTTTTACCTTGCATTATATTGACTAAAACAGAAGACTGTGTGAAAAATCGATTTTCTATTAACAGTTGTAAAAATATAAACTTTTAACGATGTCTAAAATATGCAATCCTTTTAATTCTTCAAGAATATACATCGTATTGAGCTCATAAATCACGGAACAAAACCTTACGTACAAAATCATACTAGGCATTCATCTGACTTAAACTTTGTTTCTAATTTCTGCTATATAACTTCTCAAAATTTTTATCCCATTTCAAAGCATTACAGCAAACACATAGCTAAGATATGAAAGTGTTCTCTATTTTATCTTCGTAAATTTTATTTTGGATATATATTTCAAAGCACATACTTTGCTCGATTTGTGAATGAAAAAGTTATACTTCTAACATTTTCCGTTCGAATACAATAGACCTCTCCGGACATGTGGATGTTTATACATTCGAAGTTATGTATAAGAAAAAAGATTGGAAGTCAAAAATAAGAAGCGAAGTTTTTTTCTAGTAAAGTGCAAAACGCAATCTAAAAGGAGTATGAAGGATAAAGATAAAAATTTGGACTGTCCTCTCACCCATCAAACCGTATATCAATAACATTTTGTTTCTACTTCTGTATTGTATTTCTGAAGGACTAAGTAAAAGAATAATGATGAAATATGTCTCAAAATAAATAGAACAAAACAAATTCCATAAAAGTAACTTCTTTGTATTTCCTATTTTAATCCTTTAGAGATTGTGCTAACAGCTTCTTTCAAAATTACAAGAATAATGGATACTTTGCTTTTGCTTGAAATACTTGAGGTTAAAAATGCTGGAATGGAAGAAGTAAAAAAACGTTTTCTTTTTTGACAACGCGATATTGAACAATCTGGGCCTCGATTGGTTTTGAGTTTTTAATTAGTAGTTACAAAAGTAAGTTTATTGTTCAATCGAATTAAGAGATGAATATAAGATATTTGACATAATTTTTACCGTTGAAGAGTTGAACGTTTCGTCTTTTCTTGCTCTGTTTATTACATGTCAAATTATATTTTTAATGGAAGATTAAAAAATAATCAAGGATATACTGTCGAACGATTCTATCTTTCAATATCTAAGCTTGTCAGAGATGTATAATATGTATTGGACTTAAATATATAATTTCAAACTGATTAATTGCATTATATATTCGGTCAATTTTCATCGAAAATTAAGACTAACTTCTTTAATTATAATAAAATGATTAATATTAAAATGTTTTTGAAGTTCATCAATAACTTCGAAACTATCTGCCTTGGCATCTGTCATTAAATTTACAAGAATAGTTGAATTTAAATATTAAAGACTTTTGTTGATATGTCAATAATTATTTATGTTTGAATCTCGATTTTATTAACTTATAGCTTCGCTATTTGTTTTAATTTTTTTTGAATGTCTACTGAATATGTGAGAACAAAAGCCAAATGTTTCAATTGCATCATGTAGTACTTTTATATATCATTACTTCATATTTATTCACAAGTTTTATTGTTCAAATCGAAATTTACTGTCGATGTCAATCGACTTAAAATACACATTTTAAATTGATTTAAAAAAAATATTATATTGAATCAATTTGAAGAACGGTGATAAATATCTCCATAAATTGAGTTTCGACCATTTCAAAAAAATCACCTACTGATAGAAATCAAAAAGAAATAATCAATAACAATAAATTCTACTGCATTTTACTCTTACAACAAAATATGAATGTTTCCATGTAGAAAAACTTAAAAAGATCATTACAATTCTGAAAAAATTTTGATCATTTTGTCTGGTGTATGTATTAGATACTTTCTATGGATTTAAGTTCTGTAATAATCTCATGACATCAGTCATTTTGCATCATAAAATAGTGAATGGATGCATAGAGCTGGACAAGTAGAAGTACGTACTCGTATTTAAACACAAATGTATGAAAACAGTTTTTCATTTCAATGAAATATTGATAAAACGTTAGAAAATTTACTAAAATTCATAAGATTTCTACATAATTTAATCGAATAGATTTGGAGTTTAGTTGATTTAACTTTGAGATGGAAGAAGATAACCATTTAAATCGTGTCTTGAACTATAAATTGAAAGTCTATGTCAGAATGAAAATTATATCGGAAAGAACCACTATTTTCGTGCATTTTATTTGAATGTTTAGATCGATATTTGTTGCTGTTGTTGCGTTATTGAGCTTACGCCCGTTCTTCTTTCATTCTAATGCAGACATCATTTATTTAAAACATTTGAATTCATGTTCAATAATTCAAAGGCATGATTGAATCTCTAAAACATTGATTTATTAGCTTCATTGCAGAATTTAAATAGAGTACTCATTGACTTCTAGTTCGGAATTTTTTCTTTATATGATCCCATTAGTAAAGTTCGTTTGGATTTTCTCTTGTTATTATCTTTAGTGAGAACTGAATAATGTCTCTGGATCACTCAACATACATTTTTCTTATTATATAACAGTCGAGTGAAATCAAGGGAGTAGGTTTTTTCAGTGTTCTTCCTATGAAGAAAAAGTCTTTTAATAGATCTTTGTCATCAACAATAAAAGAATATATTGGCTTAATTGAACAAAAGTACAGATATTTTATCTTTTTTTGATCATTTAGTTATTAATAACACAACCTTTATACTAAAGGTCATCAATACTTTTTTTCTGCTTGTATTACAATTACGAACTTGTTCTTCATGAGTAACTCTTCGATCAATATCATGCCTAGGTGAATGACCTTTTCGCTTTTTTTCGATTGAGTTATTTCTTTTTTTTTTAGCATGTTGTGTTTCATCTTTCATAATTGTCTCTATATAGGAATGTATTTCTCTAATATTAAAACTTATTTTCTTTGCTTGATTTAAGATCAGAAGCAGTTTTCTCTTGAATGTCACGTACTACACCTATATTTGTTTTTTTAATGACTTTATTACATTTTCATGAAGTTTGAATGGATAAAACAATCTATGATCACCATAGAGAAGATGATATCAAATAAATTGTTAGATATATTTATTTAGAATATTAAAATTAATTTTTTTTAAATTTTATCTTTACAAATATTCTATTTTGAAAAAAATAAAAGAAAATATTTCAAGAATAAAATTTTAATAGTTATGTATTGGTTGATTTAATCTACCAACTAGGTTTTTTTCCACCGTACCCAATTATTTGCTTCGATCAACGTCTTATTTGTTTGCTGCAAGTAGTTTTTCCTTCTCTTTTTCTCTTCGTTTGCGCTACAGAAATATATAATATAACCGATTCAATTATTTTATTCGTAAGAATCTAGAGGAAAAGGAAAGAAAATATTTATTTGACATAACTATGCTTTTCATTTTATTATTTTTGAACTATAAGATATATTCAATTTAATGCTATCTTTATAATATAACAGGCGATAATTATATACTTGTCAAGTAGTGATTTTATTACGAAGAATAGATAAAAAAAAGACAACTTTACAGTATATCATATCATTCTTATCTTTTTTCTGTTTCTTTCTAGATTTATTATTCTTTTATTATTGTTTATTGTCTTATTCTTTGTTCATTCTTCATCTATCATACGAGAAATTCTATTGACATCGATCATCATGAATCAAATCCAGTGAGACTTGTCACAAATGTATCGAAATAGGTTTGAGAAAAACAATAAAAAAATTTGTTTGGTATTTTACTTTATTTATTTATTTATTTTTTCATATAGAAGTACAACAGATCCTGTTCCTAAACAATCATCAATAGCAAATATTTCATCAAATATTCCTTTAATGGCTACGTCTAAAGATAATGATAGTAATTTATCATCACAATCGTTGACAAATTCTGCGACAGATGCACAAAATCTTTTAAATACATCAACTACGAATACAAGTAGGATAAAAAGAGCGTCCATAATGCAAATAATTAGGAGTGAGTGTCTGAGAAAATCAGTCACTATAGTACATCAGCGATAGCGTGACATCATAGAAGTTCCTGATTCTTTTTATATGTTGTCGAGGGTGATCAGTACAATAATCTCTGCAATTTTGAACGATAATTTTTTTTATTTGATTATTTTTGTGAATATAAGTTCAAGGAGTTATACCATCTAATGTATTTAGTAATTTAGTACTATTCGAAAAATCAGTCACATTTAGTCAAAAGTCGTGATTTTTAAGATATATCTGAAAATACTGACGTAGTTTTGTTTTTTGTAGAAATTTTTTTTCCTGATTTGGTTAGTTTTGCGATATAAAACTACTAAATCAGACCTTCAATATGTTAAGTGTCAGCGCAAAAAAAAAATAATAGTTTTAGAGAGAAAATAACCTCGATATAAATTAAACATACGAAATGAGCTATTCCCAGATTTTGCTTGTGAGAAGTTAATTGTTATCCAAAATGAACATAATTTTCGTAATCAACATGCAAAACTACACTAGAAGATATATTTTTCATGGAGAAATATTTTATACTAAAAAGTATGTTTTCTGATGTAGGTTTACATGTTTTTTTTCCTAACACTATACATATCGAAGGTTTAGTTCTATAATTGTATACCGTCCATAACAAGAAAACAGATACTTAAACAAGAACATACTAAATAGTCAAGACGGTATACCCTGTGGAAAATATGCTGGCATTTTCAATCATGTCTGATGAATCCTTGGGAAAATGTCGAGTCTTTCTTAAAAGTGATTGATTTTTGACATAGTATAAAATTGCTAAAAACATTAGATGATACAACTTTCTCTTATCTCTATCATTAATGAAAATTTCAAAGCATTCCTTAAAGTCAAGACTTTCTCCATTTCAAAGACGAAAGTAATTTTTTTCGAAGATAACTCGCAAAAAAACGATTCAAAATTTCACATAATAATGTTCGAATCGAGCTAAAAATTTCCGACACTACTGGAATTCATTATCTTTGACAATATATTAAAAAAAGTCAAGAATTTTTGAGATATCACTCCTTTGTAGATGTCTGAATGTCTAAAAAAACTTAATCTTAATATTTCTTTTTATTTAGATCGAGATTCTAGACGTGGTCGAACAACATGTCAACCAAAAGGAACAATACCTTATACAGTATATAATCGAAATGAAAAACTAATTTTCATTAATATTGTTTATTTTTAATTTTCAGATAGGCAACAATGATACAATAGAGAAGATTGCTCTTCATTTTAACTTAACGCCGTCCGAATTACTTCAGCTCAATAAATTAAATACACGTATTGTCTTTCCTGGCCAAGTATGTTTTATCTTTTTTCTTTATTCTCATCTATATTTTTATTATGTTTAGATAATCTATGTACCTGAAGAATCTGCTTCAAAGATAAATGATGAACAACAAAAATCTGCTGCTTTACCAATAAAATCACCAGCATCATTGTTAAAAAAACCTAAAGATGACGACGCATTTATTGTTCATACTGATCGTCGTTCGTCAAATGAATCTTCTCCACCGATTACACAACAAGATGTTGGTCAAATGGTTTGGTCAATGACACGACAAATAACATCAAAACCTGGTCGTGCTCAACGATTAGAAAGTCAAACAAGTTCTGAAAGTGAATCAGCAACACGAACTATTGAAGATCGTGTAAAAAACCAAAAAGAAGATAACAATAAACAAGTTAAACAATTACAAAAATCTTTATCTATAGAAGAAAATCAACAATTAGATGAAGAATGTTTACAACGTTTTATTAAACTTAATGTTAGACTTATGACTGATGATCATGTAAGTACTAAAATTAACATGAAGACAAAAAAACAAAACAAACCAATTTTTAGTACTTTTTCCCTTCATCATGAAAGAGAATAAATAAATTTAAAATTTCAAGATTAATATCGTGTTTCCTTTTTGAAACCGTAAGCACTCGTGCATAATTTTTGAAGACGCACGTATGAATGATGGAAAAAGAAAAAAAGACTATGATTTTCTATGTAGTTAATAAGTGTGAGATTGAAATCAAATTTTGATATTTTCAAATTTCAATTTGATTTTTAGAAAATAATTTTAATACATAAAACTTTCAATGTTATTTCCGTGTAAAATACGATGAAGTCTTATTTTAGAGAGTTTTATCAATATCTTGGTAAGTTTCTATAGAAAATAGATAATATGTATGGAGGTGTTTGTTGTCACAGCTAAAATCTTGTCGGAACAAATATTTCACTATGTGAGAAAATCAGGAAAAAAAATCAATAATTTCAGTTAAAGTGGAAGACAAATATAATGTTCATAGATAATCTAAATTGATTACTTTTAACAGGAAATTTTGTTTTGCTGAGAAGAAGTCATGTAAAATGTTAATTTAACCTATAAAACGATTTTGAACTACTCTTACGAGAGAACATATTCAACTTTTGGGCACCGGTATCTAATTATTTTACGAAGGAAATGTTTCAACTTTTCGATTGCTTTGAAGTCAAGATTATGGGCATTATGTAGATTTAAATGAACTATGAGTTCTTGCACTGAGACTATTGCTACGGAGTTATTGCGCTTTTTCTTTCAATGAATGCTGAAACAGCAGAAAAACTGATTTTCGAAGTTTCTATGGTAATAGGGTGTCTTTTATATCACATATATAAGCCGGCAATGTTGATTTTCTTATCTCACGATAGAAAAAAAATCAAACGACCTGACAACTTGTTCAATACACCACTCTCGTTAAGATCCGTTTCAAATCGTAATTCAACAATCAGTATTTCGGTAGCAATAAGCTAAGGACAAGAATTCTTTTCAGGGTATTCATAGCTCATCCGGATCTATATAATGCATATAGTTTCGACTCAAAAGCGATTTAAAAGTTGGAGAACTTCCCATGTTAGACGCTGGCGAAGCTGAGACTTACAGTGTTAATTTATTCTATTTATGATCGTTCCACAACTAACAGATTTATGTCATAGGAATTTTTCAAAAGATCATAGTGAAGTATAAACTTTTTGTATAAATGAAAGATATTAGTTGTAAAAAAGCATAACTTATTTTGTTGAGTTTTTTGCGATGAAGATTTGCCTCAAAAGTGTTCATATAATACGAATATAGATTTATGAAATATTTTCATTTTAGAAAAGTGTTGCTGGTACATTACTTGTCACGCCAAATGCAGTTATGTTTGATCCTGATGTTCTCGATCCGTTGGTTAAAGAAAATGGTATTGATAAATATGGTTTAATAATTCGGTTTGTTAAATTTTAATCTTTATTAAATGTGAATGTTCTTCTTGTTATTGTTTCTTAGAATGGATTTACTTGGTGGTATTGCTTTATATGAAGATATTGCAATGTATGAACATGCAGCAACATTACGGTATATAAAATTTTGTCAAACCTTATACTAAAAACAAAAAACAAACAAATAAATTATTTTTATTTTTTAGAGATGAAGAAAAACGAAAAATGTGTCATTCAACAAGTTTAAAAAATCTTTATCAATCTACAACAATTTCATCTAATAATGATGACCAAGAAATACATGAATTAATGTCATCATTATTAGATCAAATTGATAAAGAATTAAATTCATCAACTGATACAGGTGTTGTGTTATTTAATGCATCATTAAATGTTCGTCGTAGTATATCAGCAGATAATCAAATATCTCCTCATGAAGATCTATTTCATTCATTTGATGATTCTAAACATTCCCTTGGCGTTTTAATCGATGATAAAGATTTATCATCACGTAAGTATTATTTTTCTCCTGTTTAAAATTTAATTAATATATTAAAATAAAAGAAATTCCAAATTGGACACAACTTATACAAGTTATGACATTGAAGAGTAGGTTTTGGTATTTGGTGTAGGTGGCACAACAGATGAGCCTGACATAAGAAAAAAGCTTAAAGCAATACAAGAAAATAGTTTTGCTTTTTTTTGAATAAGTTCACATTCAAATCAAAAATTGAACAGAGCTGTTGTTCATTTAAAGTATAAGTCACGAAGTTTCTGAAGGTTGGCATCGAATTATTTAAGTACTGTTCATGTCTTATGTATTTATCTTGATATAATAATTCATCGATCTCTGTTCAGAATCCGGCTCGAGAAAATCCATCAAAGATTTTAAAATGGAATAGTATGTGAACTTGATAAACGAGACTTGTATAACTAAAGAAACATATTAAATATGAATTAAATACAATATCTAATATCGAGGTTTTATGTGAATGTGGACTTATTAAAATTGAACTATTTTTTTCTATTTCTTTAATGTATTTCTTACGCCAATTTTAAGTAGTGGGAGTAGAAATGTGCGGGACCAAACTTTTTTATCCACTGATGCCAATGATTTTAGTTCTTCGAGTCTCCAGTCTAAAAAAGACTATCCCAGAGTTTACTTCGTATCATATCTAAAATAATTCTTCGATATTTATTTTTTTTTTAATCTAGTCGACAACTAGCATTTTTTTCGGATCATCTCTCTTGAACTATGTTTTCATTCATACGATTTATCAGATAATTTGTGTACAACCATAGGACATATTACTAAAAACTTGAGTCTCAGTTTCGAGGAATTTTTTCCTCATGGTCCCGCACATCTCTAGTTGAGAGGATCATATATTTTAGTGTACTTTGGTGTAGGATTATTATTTTTTTTGTTGGAAAGGGAAGCTTTGGAAAAAAATGAATTAATGCTTTGTCTTGAAATCATGCATCTTTTTTTCTCTTTTTATTGAAGAATGTCTTCTGGAAAACTGTGTACCTGCTGATCAATTTAATAAACGTTTCGGTGAAATAGATAGTAAGAGGAATTGATTTTTGTTTTCGAAAAAAAAATTTTTTTTTTCTACTAAACTTAAGAATTATTACAAAAACAACAGGACATTTATATAACACCGCATCCAATAGAAATTCCATACTATTTATGTATGCGAACAAGCACACTTATGAATGATATTAGATCTATACAAGAAAGGCTCAATAAGAAAAATATTGATTATGTTTACGGAAAAAAAGACCTTGAACATGAATATTGGTTTTCTGTACCAAAAGAAAAGTAAGAATCAAAGTTTTTATTAATTCAAATTTATCATTGCTATGTCTTTTGTTTTACATCATTCTTTGATGTTAACCTAAAAGTGTGTGTCAGAATACTTCGGAAACTATGACCAAACATTTATGCATTACATGATTTTCTGTCTTAAAAGTTTAGAAGTACTAAACAATGTTTATTGAATGTGATAGATATTTCAAAACTGTTGTTTACTAATTTCTCCATCACTAGGCTTATTTTCTACTTAAAACTTTGACCTTACGAAGGAACCGTTTCAAATGATAAGCCTTTTTGAAGTTCGAGCTCTATGCGTAAGACAGACTCCAATGAGATATGGTGCATCTTGAAAGAATAAGTACCCTTAAATCTTCCTTCCGGAGTTACAGTAATTTTATTAGAATTTTCGGCTACGGCACGACATGTATCAACAAATCGAGTGACGGTATTGCCGAATGAAATTTTGCTCATGGAGTGATCGATTTGTGACTAGAATGCTCCAAAAATTTTAGCTGAAATCAGCACTTCCTTCGCTATAAAAAGGAAATAATTTTGACAGCTGAAATTTTCAGTGCACTCTAGTCACAAGTAGATCGAAACGATGTCACGCAATTTGTTGCTATCTTGTGTGCCATAGCTTAAAATTCTAGTAAAATAGCTATAAATTGAGATGAAAGGTCGAAGAGTGCTAATTCTTCTGAGACGTTTCATATTTCATTGGGATCTACATCATTCATAGAGTCTAAACTTAAAAATGATTTATCAGTTACAACTATAAAAACATCATCTGAATAGGTCAAATACAACCACTTTATAGGTAATTCAACAAAGTCCATCCAATAATGTACGGAAAAAATTCTTTGCTAAAATTTTGAGTTGATGTTATCTTAAATATAGGATTGTTCAAACTTTTTCGCTTTAGCTAGTAACATTGAGTTTTATTTACGAACAACATATAAGCTTATTTTGAAGACAAAGTCTCACCAATCATGTCAAGCAAGATATATGATGTAAAAAATGAAATCTGGACACTTCGAAGTTATATAAGGATTCAAGTAATAGCTCAGGAATATTATTATGAATCTCATTTACTATCCATTTCAAATTATAATGTACTTCAGTATTTTTTGAATAACTTTTACTAAGAACATCATTAAAAAAATCTGTGATTTCAACCATTCAAGAGAGAAAACTCGAGGTTATCGGTGTATATCGAACAATTAGGTGAGTTTTTGGTGAGGATTTTCGAGAATGATATACCGAAGATATTCCCCTTTCAATTCAGACTTTTATTTCGACTAATCGATAGAAAACGTTCTTCGTTTTCTATCTTTGAGGATTATAAAACTCTTCCTAAGACCCCTAGTTTCAGTTAATGGGCCCGCGATCATCTGAAACAGCAGTCACATAGACATAATCCACCATGTAGAGTCAAATGAAAATATTTGTTTTTGGATTAGAAAATAATCTGACTTTATAATGTTAATATCTCTAGCATTCTACCATCAGCCTATAGGTATCGAAGGAGGCGACATTTCAGAAATATTAAGATAATAGAGTTATATCAGTTTGAACTTGAAAACAAATATCACCATGCCACTCAATATAGTAAATTACCTTTTCCTAACCGCTTTTCTAAGCGACTACAGGTCAATTGGTTGGAATTGACAGTCTTAGCTTAAGTCTGACACTTCTCGAATGAAACAATCTAGAAATATTAGATTTGTGTAGATCGAAAGAGAAGATTTTTTTTCTATCTACTAGTCCTATCAAAAGAAAAATAATTTCATTCTAATTTTAATATTCTTCGATGATCCTAGGTGTTTTCTCTTGAATGGTGAAAATCGCTGTTTTCTATGATATTCCTATCAAAAACCAGTAGAACACATTATATTTTGAAAATGAACGATAGATGATGCATATGATACTGTATGAGCAAAGTATATTGTAGGTCGGTCAATTGGTATAATACTATTCAATGAAAAAGTCAGCATCATTGATTATTCAAAGGAGAGAAAAAATAATTAAAGTTGTCAGAGAGTTCCTGTTGTTTTTTTAGTTGGAAATAACGCATTTATGAGACTGACATCTGCACGCACTATATCTCGTGTAAAAGAAACAAATATTAAGAAATTCGGATTACGCCATTTTAATTAATAATCTTTCTTACTTTAATCTGCCTGATATTTTATCGAGAATTAATTTTTTTTTGCTCAAATGGATTAGGCAAAAACGTTCTGGAAAATATGACTTAAGCAATAAAGTTATACCTTAATCGAATGAGACTAGATGACCTATATACAATGACCGTGTCATTATTTCGTTAATATTTTCTTCATTTTTCATTTCTTTACTTTGAAGTTTTTTTTTCTGAAAAAGTTCAACTAATTTTCTATGATTAGTTGAAAAGAAGAAATGGCTAAGACAACTTTGTCATCGTGCAATGAAATATATTCTTTCTTCTCGTCTAGAGCGAAATCTGTTTCAAACAAGTATTGTAACTCGACAACTGATTTCTTCTAATTGTAGTAGCAACAGTCAAAATTCCGTTCGTTCTGTGTCTATCATTTAGAAGAAAATTCAAAAGTTTGATTACAAGTTTCAATACAATACGTTAGGATACAGAATGGCTAATTTGTCTTTTTTTATTCATTAAGGTATCATCGAGTAAAATAGAGAACAAAAGTAAATTTGTCCACAGAAAGTCTCCCATGGCTAAGCTTCACAGTATTATTTGGCTAATCTTTCTTCTTTGAACTTGAGATAAAATGGTTATTTATATTTTCATCGAAAGTTAAACGAATGACTTTTTTGAACAAAAAATTTCAAACGAAAGTAATAAAAACTAAAGCAGATACTGGCATCGCCGAATCTATTTCAACCATCCAATAATATATAATTTAAAACGATGTATTCGTCTATGAATTTGCTACATATTTTAATTAGAAAAAAAAAGCATTCTTTCCTAATGTACAAACAATATATATTGTGCTAAAATTACTATCTTGTTTATTATGTTATACTTTCATGAACTAATAGCCTGAGTATTAATAGATGCTCAAAAAAGAAATATAATAATGTGTATATATATATATAGATTAATTCCGTGAGCGTTTTTCTTGACGTGTGAAGCATCATGCGTGTCAATTTTTTCACACCGTTTCAATGTCAAATAATATTTGTTGTATTCGAATCATTTATATCCTAAAATATGCATACTGATAATATTATAAGAAAATTTAATATAACATTCTAAATCAGAATAGGAAATGAAAACAATCGAATAGTCAATATAAATAAAAACAAAAAAAAAGATTCTATCGTTTAGATTTCCTACATAAACGAGAATGATTGTTCCGATAAATTATTTATATGAAATATAATACATGTCATAATAATACGAATTACTCTTTGCTAAATATTAATAAATAAGATTTATTATTGATTTTCAAGATCATTAATCTATAATTTTTCATTATTAAAATGATAGACATACTTAAAAAAAATACTCTAGTGCATGATTATATATGTATACAATCAGTAACGACTTCGACTGAATGTTTGCTTATCGAAGAATCTAATAGTAAGAAAATTAATCTTAAAGAACAGAACATGTCAAAATATAAATATTCATTTTAATGATGTTATTTTTAATAGGACTTCTCTTTTTTTGTCAATAATAGATGAATAATATTTCTATATGTGAAATCATTATAAATTAATAAATAATAGAAATAGACATAAAATTCTATAGAGAATACATGTGTATATTTGATCGAGGTATTTTTTTTTTTATTATGATTTTATATTTTAGAATTGATCATCTCTATTCATTTTTTCTTCGTTGGAGTCCTGAACGTTCAACAGATTCTTTATCGGATGATAATCATTCGAATAATCATAATACTTCATCTAATCAAACTAATCGTCGTTCATCTCAAACTCAATTAAAACATAATGAAATCTCATCTGGTCAAGGTTTTGTTTTATTAGCAAATGATGATCCTGAATTAACAGATGATTATTTATATGCGAATAATAAAAATAATATGACTAATTCAAAAAATTCAACATTAATTGATAATAGTACACAACAAAAAAAACAACATTATTTAAAACGACAAAATACTTTACTTAAAGAATGGGAGGTAATAAATACAAATAAAAATTAAATTATTTATTTTCGAAGTAGTTTAAAATATAATGAGATTTATGAGACATTAAAATATTTTCTTTTTCAAATTAACAAATGTCATCATCTTTAAATAAAAGAAAAGATACAGATTACACAACACAATCATATACTGATATTCTTTAAGAAACATTCTTCCTTTAGATAAAAACAAGAACTTTTCATGTAGAAAATTAAAAGAAAAATACATAAGGTTATTATATTCATTAAGAGCTATTTGTATAATTCTGTCTACTCTAAATTGTCAGGCGTTATTTAAAGCTTATCATTCAAATAAGATTAATTTTCTGCTGAATAGATTTATACTTGTTAGCATAGAGAAAAATCATATATAAAAATATTTTTTCTATATTAACTGACTCGATTTATATTAAATGTTATATATAGAACAATTTGAATATTTGTTTTTTTATTTGAATCAGTTTATAAAATTAGAACAATATTCAACAAAAAAACCCGAGGTTTTCTTGACAATGACATGACCCTCAAGGGCAACTCAATTCATCTTGTTTTATGAAGCTTAAAAATTAAATCATTGTTTTACATATGTGGACCATTCTTTTTTTTTTGTGTCATGCCGGCAAGGATATGAACTTATTAATACATTTTCTATATTATACAAGAAAGTAAAAGAAGAGATTATCCATTCTATTCTCGTATTATATTTAGAATATTCAAAGAAGAGCTTAAATAATATGATGTAAGATTAAAATAATAATCATGAAAATGCTTTCAAAGTTATTCAATTTTTTTCTTAGTTTTGTATGTTTGACAAGTTCAATTTTGTATAGTATGTGACTGTAGTTTAACAATAAAAACACATTGCATTTGAAAATAAAAGACCATAAGTCGATAAAAAATAAAAATACCTTGTTATATCGAAAAATCAAGTTCAATAGACGAAAGAATCAAGCAAAAGAAAAACTATTTTTATCGACATATGTCTACTATCAGTTTATGATATATATTCTATCAAAAAACATTTATTCTATGTTTTCAGTAATAAAATAGAAAAAAATTGGCACTGACAACAATAATTTTGAATAGCACTTCAAATCCTATCTGTGTCTAACACAATTTTTGTCTTAGTTTCCTTTTTTTTTCAACACGATTATATGTTCTTTATAGCGTAGTTTGTCAATGAAGACGTGACAGCAAGATAAAAAAGAACTCACTACTTCTCTACTTCCAGGATTGGTGGAAACATATCGTAAAAAAGAGAGAAACAGAAGCATCTTTTCTTTCACATAGTGTCTTTTCACTATTAGTAGTTTTATAACTATATTAATATAACAAACGAATAAGAAATACAACAATGATTCGAACACTATCGAAAGCATTATCAAATACATCATCTTCCTCTACTGAATCATCACCATCATCACCAACACGTTCACATCGTCCTACACTTCATTTACTAGCTACGCATTTATCCGATTCAAAAAAAGTTCTTCTTGATCAAATTCCTCATCATCAACAAAAATTAACACGCTTAAGAAAACGTGCTAAAAGTCTTTTATCATCATCATTCATTGATCAATTTTCATTCGATAGACAAAACTCTACTGATGGGGTATGACTACAAAAAATAGATATAGTTGAAACTTATTCAAAAAGAAATAATAACAACGAAAGGACTAATAATGTAACTAAATATTGTTAATTATTAATTTAGATCATTAGTGTTGATGAAATTTATCGACGTATTAATGCAACTCAAACAAATAATACGCAAGTACCTGAACTTAATATTCCACCACCAAAACTTCTTCAACCATCAACAATTATTGATGAAGAAAAATCAAAACATGTATGAATATAAAAGAACAAACAGATTTTTTTTCAATAAAAAATTTATATTATTTTAATGTTAAGATTTTACATGAATTACCACCGCGTGTACATGATCTTAGTTGGCGAATAGTATTTAGTACAGATGCACATGGATTTAGTTTAAATCAACTTTATCGTCGATCTATGACAGTTGATCAAGATTCACCATCATTACTTATTGTAAAAGATATTGAACAAAATGTAATTAAAATATTAAAATCTATTTGTTGTTGTTGTTTTTTATTGATTGTAAAATTTTTCTTTGATTATTAGATATTTGGTGCATATATATCACAACAATTAATGGTTAGTGATAGCTTTTATGGTACTGGAGAAACATTTCTGTTTACATTTCATCCACAATTTCGTGTAAGTCAATATAATAATATTAGACAGACATGTTATAGACAAATAGATTAATAAAAAAACTGATAGAATTTTTTTGTTTTTTTTTCAATCTGTTTGACTTCCAATTTAATCAAAATAGAAAAACAAACGAAGCGTTTTCGATAAATTACTTCTGAAAATGTTATGGCTAGACTTATCTATTTTTCTCAATTGAATTATGCTATGACAGTGTACTAGACTTGATTGCCTTTAAGGAACAGAATGACTGAATTATCGTTAAACAACTTTGAGATTGTTCATAACAACAACACAAAAAAAGGAGCAATTGACAAAAACAAAAATTTACAGTTTCTTGGCAACAAATACTGTGTATTTAGATAAAATTAAACAATTAATAATTTTTTTTTCCGTTGAAAAGAAAATATTCACTATTGGAATATTATTCATAAAGAAAATATATTTAAATATATGAACTTATTAGATTCTTCTAGGAGTGCGGAAGGATGTAATATTACTTTTAACAGCACAGAAAATTTTCGTATTCTATTGTTGAGTGAAGCAGTACATGAAATATTAATATTATCCTTTAGGCATTTCATTGGACTGGAAACAATCAATTTTTCATCAAAGGTGATGTTAAAGCACTTGGCATAGGAAGTGGAGAGTATGTTTGATGAAACGTTTTTTTGATGCTTTCTTTTTTCGACTAATTATTTGTTTAATATTTAATTTCAGAGGTACTTATGGTTTATGGCTTGATGCTGATTTATACCGTGGTCGAACTAATCCCAGTAAAACATTCAATAATATACGATTATCATCAAAAGAAGATTTTATTATTGCAAGCATTGAAATATGGACATTCATTGATTAGAATTCGATTAACTTAATCATTCTAGAAACAGTATTTTCGTCCTTTTTTTTAAAGATTTCTATCGCTTTTCTTTGATCTTCTTCAATCGCTTCTAATGAATTAACGATTAGGAAGAGGACAGTCTCTTTGTGCATATCTGTACATATATATAGTTATTTATAGAAAGAGATTACTTTCCCGGTCATTTGATTTTCGTTTTAAAATAATTTTGACATTACGGCAATAAACATGTGAAAAAGACAATAATTTTATTTAATATATTTGAACCAATTCGAACAAAATCAGCACTATAAATCAATCACTGTTGTCAATAGACAAAGCCTAATTAAGAATTTTAATATGATTGTAATTTCAATTTATTTTCTTCGTTCATATTCCATAAGCTCATATGTTTTTCAATCGAAATGATATTTTGAATGTTCTTTGAGGTTAGCAAGTATACTATATTCTACTTTGTTACACTTGATAGTCTCCTATGATGTCATTGTATGAATATCAAATTCAATTAATTTGCACTTTCATCTGCATCAATAGAGATAGGCACTTTTCAAGCAACTAAATGAGCATTCATTGAAAAAAAAGAAGAATTCATTGTCCTACTTGTTCTTTGTTAGAAGTCTTTCTTTCAATATAAAAAAAAAACAATATTGAAGCGCTAGAAGTAATTTATCTTTGCTTCATTTGAAAAACGAAACACGGAAAAGACAAAGGCTATTATTGTTAGAGGAATGAACACAACAAGATAGTACTTATCAATTTTCTTTTGAATAATGATTGAAAGAAGAGCTTTTCTATTGCAACATTAAAAGCATTCATAACCACAAAGCCAAAGAAGATATTAGCAGAATTTAATATAATTCGGATGATGGAATCACTATGTCGACAATAATAATATGAATAAATCATTGATGTGATAATGAGTTCAATCATAAAAAAAGAATTATTATTTTTGTTAGGCATTCAAATATTCAGTCGTTTTCGACATTAGTTTGAGCAATTACTTTTCTAATAAGTCAAATTCAAATAGTATTGTATGCAATGACATTGCAAATATTCTGTCATGTAAGAATAACATGATAAAAACATAAATTTGTTGTATTATCTGAATGAGTCAATTTTATTATTCATCCAATCATTGTTTTGTTCTATTTACTTAAAGTCTTATCGTTGGGTGCTTGTATGGTCTGTCTCATCGTACGACAATACGAAGTACATCTGGTAGTTGACATTAGAAAGATCGAAAAGGAAAATAGCCAGAAGTAAAAATGTCGAAGCTCAAAAAAAATGTTGAAAAAAGTGATGTTGTCATGGTGAGTATAGGTAAAGACAAGACCAGAACCACGGCTTCTTTTTCTTTTCGATCTTTCTAAAGCATTTATCAGAAAAAAACATATTCTATTGTCAACTGTTGGAATATACTTTCTAATATTAATTGTTATTTGATATAGAAAAACTCTATTCATATAAATTAATGATTAAATCATTTGTTTAAATTGAACAAGAATAATTGAAAAATAGAATACAATCAAAGTATTCTTAGTTTTTTTTATCTTTTAAATATATTCATATTGGCATAGTTAGTTTTCTCTCATTTTTCGTTTATATTCTACAGTATTGTTTGTGTATTTGTCTTTTTTTGTTTTTCTATTAAAATGATAAGATAAAGTTGTTATTACACTTTCTGCTAAACACGAACAAAAAAAAAAAAAGGTATGTTTAAATATACAGTGAGATATTTGTCTCTTTCAAATCTGTCATGGATAAGTTAGCAATGGCCTATTATAAATCGTGACACACACTGCCTTAATAAATAACATTTATTAAGGATTTTTCAAAGTACTCAAAATGAATCATAATTTTAAATGTCAACTTAAAAAAGTGTTTGGATACTATTAATATAATATATCTTGCTAAATAACGACTAT